ATCCATCCAACCACCCAACCCACCAGTTTTCCAGCAGATGCCCCATGCCACCAGCCCCTGCTCCTGCTCCTTGGGGCTCCACAGACACAGGACAATTAAAACATGTGTTTTCAAGCATCTCCAAGCTCCTATCAGGCTGGTGTTTTTTCCATCTGTGTGGAAACATGTGTGAAAGCACTTCACATTGATGCCTTTTGGCTGGGTAAGCCGGGAGGGGAAATAATTCTATGCTTAGAAAGACTCTGCTGTATGTATCTGACCACAGTGCTCATGCTGAGCTGAGGTCTTGGTAAGACACCTCCAAGCAAAAAGGGCTTTACCTTGAGATAAGCAAATGATTGCAAACCCTGTGACTGTAACACCAGTAGCATTTCACCTTCTGATTTTGCATCCTTATGTGCTTTAACAAAGTTATTTTCATGGTGAGGTATCCGAGTATCTGATTTTTATTCACCTAATACATTCACTTTTGATCAGCAACTACGAAGAAACATGAACTGTATGAATATTGTTTTTATGCCCTGAATTTCATAAGGATATTATTAAATGATAACATAAGGGTATTACTGTGGTGACTGAGAACTCCAATATTTCTATGCCTTGAAATTCAATGCTGTGGTTCCCACAGCAACCATAACCATGCCCACTCCATGAATTTTACATCCCAGTCTCAGAACACACAGTTCCAAGTGCTCAACATACATAAGCAAAACAAGCAAAAGCATTTTTTTTTTTCCTGCAATAACCATCTTGCCTGCTAAGTCACAACCTCTACAAGGTGTTAATTGCACTTGTAGGTGAGGATGAACTCACAACTGGCAATTAATGTCCTAAACACAGCTTCTGTGCCCAGATACAGGATTCACAGTCTTACTATTGACACAGCTTCTGTGCCCAGATACTTACAGGATTCACAGTCTTACTACTGACACAGCTTCTGGTTTTGCTTAATGCTGGAATGAGAGCCCCCTGTTTGTACTGAAAGTTAAAGATCCTTAGAAAGCTAAAAAAGAACAGTTAAGGGCCTTTCAAATTCTTTTGCTTGGAATACAATACTATTTCAACTTCAGAAGCACTGGATGAAGAGGCTGCTCCTCCATGGCTTTGCTCATTTTATCCAGCCCCTTTGCTTGGAGGCAGGACTTGGTAGCACATTAAGAGGAGATCAGCAGAAACAGGAACATGAACACCATCATGTTATCTGGGTGTTTAAGGGTTAGCTTTTTCCTGCTCTTAGTCTGTCAGAAGTAAGGAGCACACACATGAACAGCTCCCACATCTGTGTTGTTTCCTGGACTTCTCCTCTCTCAGCATTTACTGCTGCTGCTGCTACACAAGACACCGATGGGTCATTGGTATGAAGAATTGTGACTTTAAAAAAAATTCTTATTAATTGCACTAGGTTCAGCTTTTATCCAAAACTTACACATCTTCCTTTTTGATAAGTTTGTTCTCTGAAGTGATGGGGTAATGGTCAGTGGTGAAATCAATGAAACAATTCACTGCTACCAGAGCGAAAAATTCCAAAGGTGGAATTTTCACAACCACACTTCACCGGTATGTCAGAGCAGGAGTTTAACTGGCAGCACCAGTGCTATGTAATAACGTGAACCTATCTTTACGGGAAAGCTCCAGGGCTTTTCTGTGAAAACTTATTAAAAATATTTTTTAAAAAATATTGACAGTTGGAAATATGGGAAACGGCAAATCTGTAGGTTTAAAATGAAACATTAATCTACAGTGAGACCAGCTTTCCCAAACTGTATTTAGTATTTCCTAAATATCTGCAACGTGAATTAGAAAACAAAATTTTACATTAGTAATATAATAGAAATATCATCTAATGCCAACAATCTCTAAATATTTAACTCTCAGGTTACAAAGAAGAGATGTGGTGTTGGATAGCTGATGGCAGACTGCACAGGAAGAAAACACTCAACCACTCCACCCCGGAAACACAGAGACCACCACCAGCTGATGGAACCTCTGCCCATACCCAGCGAGGTACCGGAGCCCTTCAGGAACCGAAACCAGCACAACCAAGCAGGTTCTAATTCAAAGCTGCTGTCTATGTCCTGCTGCTCCAGACCAGGGCTTAACAGAGAAAATGGTGCTCCAGGTTGGCTGCAGTCCTAATTCAATTGCAATCCACAACATGGTGTATGACACAGCAGCTGTGGGAAGGACTGATTAAAAGCCTCTGTGCATTATCCCAACAGGCCCATGTGTATCCGACATTTTAACTGAATTGGAAAGATCTCTACTTAAATTCCAGATCTGCTACAATCTTTCCATATGTCTAGAAGGACTCCTGACTTCATTTCTTTAACATAAAAATGTTGATAAGAATTTCAGAATATTTTTTAAAATAATCTAATTTATCTTGATTAAAAATGCTGCATTTAAAAAAATCTGGGATACAGTATCTCACTACATTTGATCTTGAAATTTCACTGTAGTACATGGGAAAAAGATGAGCCTTGCCCAAATCTGTACTAAAAATCTTTGAACCCACAAAGACTGGACCAGACACTGTAGCTTGGATGGAAGTAGTGTGCAAAACACTTAGACCAGCAGATTAGCTGTTCCTCTGACCCACCTCTCTCTACTTCTCAACATGGTCTAGGACCTGAGACCTTCTAAAGAGATTTTAAAATAGACTGAAGTGTTTTAGAAAGCCTAAGTACAGGAAAGGTTTGCATGAGAAAAAGTTTATCTGAACTTGTTTATTCCTGCTCAGTGTTCAGATTTTCTTTTTTAATGTAAGTATCTCTAAAAACCTTTAATTTAAAGCAGTCAACCCCCCCTCACCCAAACTCTGATGACGTTTTTCTCTCCCAGACCCAGTAACCAACAAACCTCCTCAGAACTGGCTTTTTGCAATGCAAACCTTTAGTCACAAGCCCATTACACCATTGGGAACACACATTCCAGAACACCAGTCATGCCAGTACATAAAACCACTTCTCAGTTGCTAGACATGCATCTCAAAACACCTAGGCCTGCTGCTGCCTCCTCACCACACACTGATCCCCAATTATTTTTAAAACTTGTCTCTTAAGGAGAGAAAAATCAGCTGTAGTTTTGCAGAGTCGTATCAGAGGTGCTGATAATCTACACAGATCCCCAAGGAATACAAACAAATAGAAGTCCTGTGTTTGGGAAGAAGTTAGTCTTTGGTTTGGAGATCTGAAGAATGCAGTTTTCCTTTCCAGGCAAATCCTAGAGGCTTGAACAGTAAGCATGCAGTATGCTACAGAAACAAGGGTATATTATTGCAACTTGGCAATTTTACAAGGCATTTGGGAAGGAAGCCGTTAAAAATCTGTTTCCTATTATAACGATTCATTTTTAATACCTCAAACACAGATTTTCTCTGGAAGAACCTTTTGAGAACACTTCAAGAAAAATACTTAAGTACAAAGTATGATACTGGTGCACTTTCTAGAAACAATTACATACTTAACAGGTGAAGTAGGAAGAGAGTATTTCAGAAAACATTTAATATGAAACCTTTTGGAACTTCCATCGAATACAGATTTACATCATTTATCAGAACACTTTTTCAGTTCAGACAACAAAGTGCACTGCTGGGTGAAAAAATACATTTGGAGGAGTGCTTAAAATGTAGGAAGTGAAAGGATAGGTGACCATTCACCTGAGAAAGTACAACAACTGCCCTGAAATGTCTTATTGCTATTACAAAAATTGAGTTTTCATGGAAAAAAAAAATCATACTGAGCAGCACAGGCACGGGCAGAGCACTGAAAGCCAACTGAACTCCGGCAGCACCTGGAGTTCTCAAGCCAAGGCGTGATACAGAATATACAGAGAATAAAATGCAAATTCAGGAATATTTACTACATTTAACAACTATGATTACCCTT